GATACACTTAATTTCAACAGTCGCGCTATAATTCTCAACGAACGTCTCACGTGCTCGACTTCAACAATACTCCGTTCAATTACTCATTACCTTGTTGTTCCGTCACGTTGTGAACGTCTTACATATACAAGACTAACACATATCTAGTAAATGCTAGGGCATTCTTGAAGGAACAGGATATTTCTAGAAACAGGTGGCGTGATACTAGTCATGTGACCTCGCTGACGCAACAATTTTGATGAGTAGCGGCATGAATGAAGTCAAACACCAATTCCCACCTCACCCCAATACTTGCATACCGGAACCTTTTCAAAACCACTTTAGGTTTTAACATATACTTATCCTTGATTTTCAACCATTTTTATTTTGCAGTTATACCAGATATCGTTATTAGTCAGTCAATTTCTAATTAGTGATGTATCCTGATATGTGGCTACCTATTCTCGGAGTCTAGAAGGTCTATTAATAACTACAAGTCAGGTTTTCTGGTTATTGTCACAGCAGTGATGTGGCCAAGTATGACAAAAATCTAATGCTAATGCTACATGTCCAACTTAAAACAAAAACTAGACTAGTATAGAAATAAATGACTATCAGAAGTTTAATAGAATAGTAAAGTTAAAACCAGGTGAACTTTTCCCAGTGGTTAAAGTATGCTACAAAACACCATATACACAATTCTTTGGTTTCCTAAGGAAATATGTGGCTTTTAGTTTATCTGCAACTATAACGTATGTTTTTGCCGCAGGTGAAACAAAGTTACATCTTCTCTCTCAAATACAAGGATACCGACAGCTTTTGCAAACTACTTTAAAATACAATTTAATCCTTTATTTTCATCGAATTATCCTGCTTGTATACCAGGTATAATTTACCAAATTATATATCAGGAAAATAATGGCTGTAACAAACCTATGATCATTTGTGATATTCTAGTAATCAAAGTTATTATTTCCATGGAACAAAATTTTCTCAAATTGAGGATGTATACATCGCAGTGTATTCATTAAAGGTAATACAAACCTTCCGTGTTTTTGTTGTTTTTTGTAGTTTTATTTTTCGAGACATTGCTGCAACTTTTCAGTATTAGAACAAACTTATTGGATCTGTTAGCGCATTGAAAATTAACAAATCATTAACTTGTGATCATCACAAGTTACAGTTATTGATTTTTCAAAACGAAAATAAAGAAAAAATTATAAATCACTGCAAAGATGAGCTGTGAAGTAGAGTATATTTCAGTATGTTTTGGATCGTATGGACGGCGGCCATATTTCGTTGAGGCCATACTTGTAATGTTCAATTTTACAAAATTACTTCAAACTGAATAACGCATGAAAAACACATTAATTTTAATTGTTTAACATAAGTCTATTAATATTATTATAATGAGAAGATTTATACAAACGTGTGAGAAATAAGAAAATTCCAAAAAATTGTTGTATAGAAAAAGTAATGCTCGTACACAAGTTACTTTAAACAAATTAATCCAGCCGTTATATCCGCTGCTCTCAGATTGCTTAACTAAGCCTAAACTCGTTGTTAACTGATTTCTCCTCGTGTTGCCTTCTCTCTCTGTGTGTGTGTGTGTGTGTGTGTGTGTGTGTGTCCAAACTCGCACCATCCAACCAACAGTGGCGTAGCACGGGGGGATTATCGTCCCCTGGCGCAGGTGTGAAGGGACGCAAAATTTCCTTCTATTAAACTAGGCATTGCACTGGGACAGATCTAATGACTAAGTTAATAGATCTAGATTCTCTGTCCTGTTGAAAGCTACAATAATGATAAACAACAGGATTCCATTTTGTCAGAAACAACTCCACAGAATAGTGTTGCTAAGCTAAAAGAGGATGACCTAATAAATATTTTAACACACAGGGATATTGGATTTATGAAGTTTGCTAGAACAGGCTCAGGAGTTATAACACATGCACATCGTAGAGAGATTGTTAAAGTTGGAGCACGTGAATTTCAACATAAAGAATGTCTATTTGATGCCAAAGATGGGCGTTCTATGACAGCAGTTTGTTCAAACGACGCCTTCTGAATGGACAAGAGGTCAATCGTTCCTGGTTGGTGTATTCACCTCTACATAA